AATTTTTTATTAATTTATTAATTAATTAAGTGGAAAAATTAATTTTTTAATTAATTAATTAAATAATTAATTGGATCCGGATTAGTGCGAGCGTGCAGGTGGGGGAGGACTGTGGTTGCCCCTTAGCCTGTGGTTGCGTGTTTGTAAGTCTACATGCAGCCAGCGCACATAGCGGAAGTGAACTGAAACGTGCATGTTAACAAACCCACAAACCCACAAACACACAAACCAACACTCAAACACACGCCGGTGAAAACATAAACCCCGCCAAGCCCCTGGCGGAGGTAACAACGTCAACCGTTCCAGGTTACTTCGACTTCCGCCGAAATGAACGATTCAGTTGGAATCGATCGATAATAATCAATTGTTTAATTCATTGAGTGATTGATATGTTGAGAGTAAATAGAGGGAATTATAGATTCGTAGATCGATCGACTGATCGACCGATTGATTGGTCGATTGTTTTGATAGTCGAATGATTACATGAATGCTCATTTAATCGATTGATACACGGATTGATTGCTTGATTGATTTATCGTTTGTCTTTAGGCCGGTCTGTACTGGAATGACTTGATGAATACGTTTGCTGCATCATGGTCGGTAATACTGGTGGCACTGGGAGAGGGCATCGCTGTCGCCTGGGTGTATGGTATGTACGAAGACGTCATAGCAGCAAGCTATCGGTGCAAGCGTCACCGAGCCAGCCAATCGGCAATCGAATCTGTCGCATCCAGTAAATGTCTCGAGACTATATCGCATAATATGTACCTACATCAGATATTATATTATACACAATGTGTTAATCACTTCCGTTGTTATATTATGTAAATAATTAAATAAATAAATAAATGTATAAAAAAAAGTAAATTCTTTTTTTATCGTTAAATATATATATAGATATAACTATTTTATGTTATGTAACGAAATCCGACGACATTTCTTCGAACGTTAACTGACATCTGGTCGTCGATGGTTGTTGCTAGGTCCGATACCATCGAGTATACACTTAGATACCGCGTACACTTAGATACCGTGTACCTCTCACATTTTTTTTCATGATTTTCATTCAGGGGTGAGGCGTTTCATCGGTGACATCACCATGATGCTTGGTCGCAACATTGCCTACAAGATTTGCAATGTCTACTGGATCTTCACCTGGTTACTAACGACGCCACTGCTAATCCTGGTGAGAGATTCGAGAGCCGATTTATAGCAATGGAAAGGAGGGATGGGAAGAAAACTGGGTAGAAAGTTTGATTTGACAATCGGATCATTAAATAAATAAATATAATATATAGATAGAGAGAGAGAGAGAGAGAGAGAGAGAGAGAGAGAGAGAGAGAAAGAGAGCGCGCAAGTGGAAGAGCACGAGAGAGAGTGAGAAAGAAAGAGAGAGAGAAAAAGATATATAGATAAATAGATAGATAGATAGATAAGTAGATAGATAAATAGATTGATTAATATATGTACATATAGATAGATAGATAGCTAAATAAATAGATAGATAGAAAGATAGATAGATAGATAGATAGATAGATAGATAGATAGATAGATAGATAGATAGATAGATAGATAGATAGATAGGATAGCTGATAGATGATATAGATACGATACGATAGATAGATAGATAGATAGCATAGATAGTATAGATAATAATAAGAATCGATAGACTAACCAGATAGGTAAGACAGAGACGAAGAGAGAGAGACGAGTAGAGAGAGAGAGAGCAGAGACGAGAGAGAGAGAGAGAGAAAGAGAGAGAGAAGGCGGGGGGAGAGCGCGCGAGAAAGAATGAAAGAGAGAGCGAAAAAGAAGTATCGGTATGATAAATGAAATCAAGACAGACATAAAAATCGTACTTCAGGGCATACTCGTCTTCAACTTCATCGCCTACAAGACGCCGACCTCACAGGATATCGAATACCCTAAATGGGCAGAGGTTCTCGGCTGGGTCATCACCTGGGGAACCGTGGCTCTGAATACTATAGTTGGCGCCATCAACTTCTATCGCTACCATCCACAGATGTAAGCCTCCGCTATACGTAATAGAAACCCTATTGGAACTGAAGACAATGATCTATTTGATATTTTTATATTATATTCGTTTTATATTATAGTTTATTTATTGATTATATTATATTGATTTTGATATTTAGACTAAAAATATTTTACTTAGATTTCCAATCTTAATTTTCTACATTCAAGTACCGTACCTCCGCGATATATTATTAATATATATATAATATATACTTATATATATATATATATTCCTTCGCTCTCTACTTCTCTTGTTCTTTCTCTTTTCACTCTCTCGCCCTCTATTTCTTCTTGGTATATCTTTCTAGTTCTCTCCATCTGGCGTTCTCTGTGTGTGTTTCTGTCTTCTTCTTTTTTTCTTCTCTCTCTCTCTCTCAATATTTCTCTCTTAAACTTCTCACACGTTCTACCTAGTTATAAACTTACTCTCTCTTTTCTCTGGAGAGAGAGAGAAAGCAAGCGAGATAGAACAGTGTGGAAGGAAGAAATTGAGATAACGAGAACGAGAGAGAGAGAGGGGAAAGAGAAAGAAAAAGAAAAAGAAAAAGAAAAAAAGAAAGAGAAAGAGAAAGAGAGATGATTGTCTTTCTCTCTCGGTTTCTCTCCCTATAAACACTCGCTCGCGCAGATAGACACAAGCGCGCACGTACATGTACGCGCTTTCTCATGCGTGCCTTCTCTCTCTCTCTCTCTCTCTCTCTCTCTCTCTCTCTCTCTCTCTCTCTCGCTCTCTTTCACTCTATAAATAAAAATATAAAGAAAGAAAGAAAGAAGGAAAGCTATATGTATATACGTCATATTCATGTACCTTTCTTCTGATCATAGCGGATACAGACGATATTCCGACCGGATCCGACCTGGGGACCTGCCATGGATCGCTTCCGTACGGGAGACTACGCTCCCATCGGTCCTGCTCCGTCGGCGAACATCGGTGGGAAAGCTCCCCTATACACGATCGCCGACACGGCAGGATATCCGGGTCTCTACCGGCCGTATCCTAGCGACGGATACTACACAAACCCGGCCTTTCATTCTTCCCAGTCATCGCAACTGTAGTGTGTTCCTGAGACGGACACCAACTCTACGGTGGATATTGCTACAGGGACTCTCATTGGTCGATGCGTACTTTCTTCAACTGATACTAGGGGGGACTTTTACCTCGCCCCTCATTCTCCCTAGCATGGACTGGCATGGCCAATGCGTGCTGCGCTCAACTGATATTATAGATATTTTTACCCACCTCCCTCTCTATCTCCCGCTCTCTATCTCCCTCTCTCTACAGGGACTGGCATGGTCAATGCGTGCTGTGTTCAATAAATTATTCTATCTCTCGCGCTCTCTCCCCGTCGCTATCTCTTTCTCTCGGTGTGTCCCCATCTCTCACTTTCCTTCGCTCTCTTATTCGCACCCTCTCCTTTTCTCACTCTATCGCCCACATATCGTGTGCCTATATCGCATGAATTGTTGCGAAATGATGGCTGTATCCAGAGACTGGCGTATATATGCCTGTTGTGTCTTGTTGTTAACTTACTATGACCCGTCGTGCGGTTTATATACGTTTTACATACGATATGTATTTTTATAAGTCGACTATCGTAGTCTATATATCTATGTATCTTAGTGAGATGACAACCGACGAGGCTGAGAATTTAGCGTTAATCTAATAACTATAATCTCTCGCTACTATCGGCTGAACTGGCTGTCAGACAGGCGCAACTACTGTCTCGTCGCATGCCAGGCAAATTGCAATACTATAATAGATTCAGTTACGCGAATACTGCTAGCGCCTGAGTGGTTGGTAGCTATATGGGCTCCTTACTGTCTTATTGAATCTCTCGATTTCCACTCCCCTCCTCTCTCTCTCTCCCTTCCTCTCTCTCTCGCTCACTCCCTCTCTCTCTCTTGCTCTCGCTCTCTCTGTCGTTCTCTCCCGTTCTTTAGTTCATTCTCTCTCTTTCTCTCTCTCTCTCTCTCTCTCTCTCTCTCTCTCTCTCTCTCTCTCTCTCTCTCTC